ATTCCCAGACCGGAGTAGTGCACTGTGAAGCTGACTGATCTTGACGAACTTCTCGCTCTCTGAACATCAAAATCATTAAATATGTATTAATATGTAATTGATAATTTCGCAAAAAATGTTAGCTTATCGGATTATCCATGAAATTTGATTACAAATTTAAGTTATCATGTATAACTGCACTCCTTTAATGCATGATCAATGATGAGGGTGGCGCGCAGCTGTAATGTTTAATTTTGACAAATCAGCGTATTACGGCGTATTATGGCGTATTCTTGGACGTATTTAACAATCCATAGAAATTACCGTATTCCGGCGTATTACGACGTATTCTTTATTAGAACCGAATACGTCGTATTCTTTCACGAAAATTTGACGTATTTAACAACCTTGGTTAAGAGCTGATCAATTGTAGCTACTTGTGCCATATAAGGGATAACTGAGGTCACGTGACAGTCGGCCCTATCACGTGACCGCTGATTCTATCACGCGATCTTGATTTGTAAATCCTCGGGCACGCAATCACATTCATAACGTGTGATTGCGTGCCTTACATGGAACAGTATAGTGTATCGCGTGTAATTGGATCCAATTATAGGAGCTGCGCAATTATTGCAGCATCTTGATCTTGTATCACCTTTTGAACCTAGGACGCAGCTGGGCCAGAAATTTGAAGATAGAAGGATTTTTTGTTAATGAATATCGAAGCGAAAATCATGTAACCCTATGTTTTTGTCGTTGCCAAATAAAAGCCATACTACAGTACAGAGCTAGATGATGAAGAGAAATTAAAACATAACTGATTTTTTAAATTTCCTCAAACAAATCTTATTAAGATAATAATTAAGAAATAATGAAATAAAACCAAAGTGGAAACTATTAAAGTGTAAAACTTCATAATTTGAGTGGTCAATTGCATTCATAGGTCCGCTTTATAGATTAAAATAACCTTTAATTTAAAATAATTGTTATATTATAATTGTCTGGGACGAAGGTATGGCACGTGGTCAGTGGTCACATCTAGCAAATGTTGAATAATGATCACTAGCCGCATCAATGATCAACCAAGACATTGTTATGTACGAGTGCTTGTAGCGTAACGTTACTATTTGTCACCCACAAACAGCTGGACTTGTACAGTAATGTTTTTGTAATTTTCATAGTAGTGGCTTCTTCATATAACTTACGATCATGATAGTCGATTTTTCAAACAATCTTAAAGTAATCATTAGTCGAAAATTGGGAACAATTTTCATTTACATGAACGTTTCTTGGAAAATTATCTCCAGCTCTATCCTTCGGCAATGGTACTTTTGTGGCTGAAGACATGATTTTCAAAGCCAATAATTACGGCAAAAAGGAGAGCAAATTGTCGATTACGATTTTTCAAGTCGAGGCTCGGAAAATTAACTCGCTTAGTTTCTCACCTCACTCCTAGAATTGTGCTCTGCAGGAGATAATTTTCTCAGCGCCTGATGTTCAAATTTTCCACTCAAGTGCACGTGTTGTTTAATCAATTCGCAGTTATAATCCGTTATCGATTTAATATGTATTTGCGATCTATATTAATCCCCCTGATATAGGCGAGTTTTGGCCCAAGCTCACCAATATCAATATCTCACTATATATAAAGCGAGACGATATCTATGGATGGATCCGTACCATTTTACTGACACCACGGTATCAACTTTAACGCGACTTTCCGCAAAAAACGTAAAGGATATACAACTGAAACTTTTTTGACTGGGTCAAATGCTTTAATGGCCTCCAAATCAGCATGAAAAAATAAAAATTGGCCAAGGAATAGGAGTTTTAGAGCCCAAAATTTGGACCCCCAAGTGGTGTCAAAAACGCGAATTAAATGGGAATTAAACTGGAATTAAACTGGAATTAAACTTGAAATTACCAAGGAGAACACTAACGAACTCGTTTTGGCTATACATCAATTAATAAATAAGCTCAGATATAAAACAAAAGCCGAATAAAAGTATGAAAATAAAATCTTAAAATCTTAAAATTTAACCGCGTTACAATATCACGAAGTTGAAATAAAATCAAATAAAACAATTTAAATGCTAATAAAAATTCTGGATGTGTGCATAAAAGCAAGTCCAAGGAGATAGGTTAGACTTAAAAACTATATAAGTTGATGGGACGATGAAGGAGATGAGTAGGGGACGTGAAGCGAGGATTAGGACTTATTCATAGGATTTCGAAGGTTTGAGAGTCTGTTAGGTGGTGATTACTACTACTAGGACTTCTTAGGAGGTGATTACTAAGACTTCTTTTCAGGAGGATGTCGAAGGTGAAAGGATTCTGTGAGGTACTTTCCAAATTCAGTTGCATGGAATGAGTTCATGATGGCCCCATATTCTTTGAGCATTATGAGGCTTTTAAGGTTGTCTGAGAGGTTGGACCGGAGGGAGTTGTAGCTGGGGCATTCATTTATGACGTGGTCCTCGGTTTCAAGGATAGGTGTTTCAAAGAATGGTAGTCTCTTGTGGTAGGTAATAATTATTTTAGTCTCTTGAGTCTTGAGTCTTGACACCATTTTAGGGTTATACGGGTTCCTGCTAGTTTATCTAAAATTTATACATTATATCAATTGGGGTTTATTATGGCGTCTAAAGTTCTAAGATACCGTATCTTACTATATATAAAGCCATTCATATAACAGGAGCGTCAACCTACCGGTAAGTAGCCCTAACACAATCCTAAAATACTGCTAGTGCATCCTGAAAACGCTATTAAGACGTGAGTACTGCTTATAGAGGTCCCGATACAATCCTTGGTAGTCCTTTTCGATATTGGTTGATATCTGTATTCGTTGATCTTAAGCAAATATTTGGAAAAAAATTTTTCGTCTTCTGAACTCGAGATCTTTCCTTCATTAAAGCCCGATCATTAGCTGAGAACTAGAGTCATTGTTTACAATTACTGAGATTCGGCAGAGAGACTAATGCCATCCGATCAGCCGCTCAGGCGCTTAACTTAGCTTATAATAACATCTATGACATCCGAGTGCATTTTAAAGCAATGTGTCCTTGAGTATGATAATTATAACCAGTTTTATCGTGTTCAGCGTCCTTACTTAGCTTATAATAACATCTATGACATCCGAGTGCATTTTAAAGCAATGTGTCCTTGAGTATGATAATTATAACCAGTTTTATCGTGTTCAGCGTCCTCGAAAACATAGAAGGGTTACATGATTTTCGCTTCGATATTCATTAACAAAAAATCCTTATATCTTCAAATTTCTGGCCCAGCTGCCTGCTAGGTTTCATGGAAGGTGATACAAGATCAAGATGCTGCAATAATTGCGCAGCTCCTATAATTGGATCCAATCACACGCGATACACCATATTATTCCATGTATAGTAAGGCCTGATCAAGTAGCTTGAGCTCTGGTGACGTAGTCGTATGCCGACTATCCTAGTCGGCATACGACACGTTACGAATGTGATTGCGTGCGCGAGGATTTACGAATCAAGATCGCGTGATAGGAACACTGATCAATGATGAGAGCGTAAAGAGAATGCTTCCCGGAATCAGCACAATGAAGGGAACAAGATGCTGTTGGAATTTTAATTAATCATCTTCCACCCGTAGTCCCTATAATACTAAGTCATACCAGGCATACTGGGCACTCAGTAACTGAGCTATTAAGGCCAACGATGTCCAATGACGTTTGGCCCACCCTGTATATATACAAAATTTGTGATCGTAATAAGCATATTCGTATATATACGAATATGCTTATCACAATGCTGGCAAGCATAACCGTTGCCCTTATATTCACAACACTATGTACCCCCTATACTATTATATCCCCTTTATTGTTTTCCAGGCATTAAGACTCATCGAAAGTAGTTCAGCAGGTATATTTAAGTTCAAAACATTCTAATTCAATGTTAATGATGACAGGAATAAGAAATAGTTATGTGGAGGTTTTTAAGAAATTTGCGCAAAATACGCGCCAGCATGTTATACGAAATTAGGTAAAAAACCCAAAATCGCCATATTCAGGTGCCTTAAAAACCATGTTAAAATTGAGTTAGAGATCTGAAACTTTGCAGAGCGTCTAGACCTTGTCCAAATCGACTGTAAAAAAAATTTCATGTTGCAGGAGTATCGGGAAGTGGGTTTTCTGGAACCCCTGTTTTACAACAGATTGTCGTGAAGCTATCACCTTAATAACACCAGAATGTGTGTGTGTGTGTGTGTCTGTCTGTCTGTCTGTCCGTGTGTAATTTCCGGTCGGTTATACAAAAAAAACGGTAAGAGTTACGGGACTGATTTTTTCGGTATAGTGTCGACAAAACTCTGATGAAGCCCATAGGAAATTTTTTTTTAAATCGGCCGATGGTAAGTGGTTTAATTGATGGTTTTGTACCACAAATGTTACATAAAATTGCGTGAGCAGAACGGCAAGAGTTACGGGACTTGCTCTCTCTCTCTCATTACTGTGTAATATGTTATAGCTGCATTTAAGTAGCGTCATAATTGGATTAGCCTGGAAGATTTGCTGTAATGTTATACCTTAAGCTTATTAGGGGAGGGGGGACTGTTAGTGTTTGGGGTCTGTTTGGACTGCAGAGAGAGAGAGAGAGAGAGTTCATACGACAATGTTATGCGTGTTTTCAAATATAATATGCGGGTGTGGTGCGGAGTTAACAAGGGTTAATTTCTATAACGATTTAAATAAAAATAGAAAGCGGTTCAAGACGGGAGTGATGAGGTGTAATAATCGGTGTTCAGACCTTATGATCATGGAGTGTGGTGCCTCATGGCTAATAATGACTTAATTATCCACAAGAAATAACTGATTATGAGATTATTGTTTAAGAAACTATTGGGTCACCTAATGCGGGTTTTGACTCTGCGGGTAATTACTCCTACCCTTTTTAACTGCGGCAGTGAAATCCCGGCCGTAGGCCGGGTTACACTAGTATATGTATATATATATGTATATATGCAAAATGAAACGACCGGTTGAGTCAGACAAATGTTTCAATCATGATACAAAACCATGATATCATCAGTGACAACTGAGGTATAGGAACTAAAATCAAAATTACAAAGCTAAAATTTAACATAAACAATCACTCGTGAAACAATACTAGGGGTTAGATGTATGAGTCATTAGATTATAAAAGGAATTTCCGTTTATGGCGGCATTTTGTGAGGATTTCCGTCCTGGAGTTAAGTAAGTGTGGGTCAGAGGATCGAAGTAAGATTTCTAATTTCTCAGACGTGCACAGATCGCAGCTGTTTTGGCCGGCTCTGTATCCGTGTCCACGTCTGATTATTTTCCATTCGATCCTGAATTCTAACCCACGGTCTTTGAAGGACCAGATCTTCTCCGACAGTTTGGTTCTATTTCGGTACCGCTCCAGGCGAAATGATGACGTGTGCCCGTTGTACCGGTCCTTGAATGTGCCCTCCGTCATTCCGATGTAGTGGTGCTTCTCATTTTCCGTACGGAGGGTCGCCATGTATACCACAGACTTCGATAGGCACTTTCCGTCTAGTGGGCAGGAGTTCCTGGAGCGGCAGTTGCACTGCCGTGTGGTGGGTTCCTGGGTTTCCTGGTGCTGACGAAGCAACTGCTTGTTCCGGGATTTTATGAGGCATTCCATGTTTTTCATACAGCTGTATGAGACTTTTACACTGTTCCGGTTCAAGATCTTGTGTAGTGGATTGTCCTGAGGGAAGTGTTTCTCCAACAGATTGAAGAATTTCCTTCCAACATTGGTCTCCACAGTGACAGAGAAGGGGGGATTGAACCAAAGGACCCTGCGTTTCCTCCTTCTATTACGTGGTGGTTTTGCCTCGCCTGCCTGGGTGTTGTAGGTCATGCACGAGTCCATATAGCCGCTTGACTTCAAAGCATCCTCGTAGTAAGGCTTGGCGTCGTCGAACACCTCCTTACAGGAAGATATGCTGTTGATTCGGTCAGCGATCATCTCCGGGATGTTGCGGATGATGGACGGTGGGTGATTTGACTGGCGGTGTACATATTTCGTTACCTTCTCCGCTTTGCGGAATGGCCGGAAGGAGCCATCCGATCGGAAGGTGACGTCGAGGAAGTCAACAGATGTGGATGGTGGGGACACAGTGATCTTCAAGCCCTCTCTCCGGAATGTAGCAAACAAATCCTTCCGAATCCGCTCCATTCTGGGGCCGGGTGTGTCTGTCAGCATCACGAGTCCATCGTCCCTATAGAGGCCGTGGGATTGTTGTGGGAGGATATCTCCGATCTGGGATAGTAGGTACACACCAACCAGCTCGCATACTTCTGCGCCGTCGGGGGCACCCATTGTTACATCGAACAGGGAGTCCTTTCTCTGCCAGGTTTCCCCTCGCGGACAGAACAAGAGGGAGAGTCGGCTGTGTTTGATGGTGTCGATGTCTTCCTCTGAGATGTTGATGTGTTCTTGTGCAAACTGGAGGGCCCTGTCTAGAAGATTCTCACTGATGGAAGGATAGAACGACTCAATGTCGAACTGGAGAAACTGGACATGCCCGGGTGTACAGTTGGTCTCGAACCAAGAAATAACCTCTCCGGTGCTCCGCCACTGGTTGACAGAGGAAGAAGTACGGAGTTGGGCGGTGAATTTCTCGAGGATTTTTTTGCTAACTCGTCCAACATCTGACTTGGCTGGATTTATCAGGCGACAAGGAAGGTTAGTAGCGAAATTTGGCTTATGGTCCTTGAGCAGTACGAATGCCTGGGACGTTTCGAAGCGTTGCATCCGTCCCTTCAGGTCTAAGCGGGCGGCGATGGAGGCTGCCTTATTCTCAATATGCTCTGCGGTGCCTGCGGGGGCCTTACGATATTCTGCTGTGATGCTGGACTCAATGAGTCGTTGATATTCGTCGATAGGGATCCGATAATGTTGGCTGGTTTTATCGGTAGGGATAAGGGCTGTGGTCGATGATTTTATGCGGGCAGCGTCCGAGTCGAGACGGTCTAGGAAAGTACTTGGAGCGTGCCTAAACTTTATCGATGCGATTAGCTGGTATATGTCGCTTTCGAACGCCACAAGCTCATTTACCACAGGGGGAGATTTGTTGGAGCGGAAGCCGTAGGTTTCCTTCATCTCCTCGTCTGGTGGCTCGGGGCCGAGAAGGAAGAAGAAAGCCTTCCAACGCAGGCGGATCAGGAAGTCTTCAGTTCGGGTAATCAGGGCTTTTAAGTAGGCGTCTTTTGAGCATCGGGGAATGTTCTTTAGGGAGTAACCGTAGTGTGTCAATTCCATGAATGGCAGTTGACGAAAAGTGCTCAATCTCTGGTTTCCCAGGGAGAGCTAGTTAATTGTGGGTGGCGTCGTCTGCTTACAGTGCTCAATCGGCAAGCCGAGAGCTAGATACAAAATGAAACGACCGGTTGAGTCAGACAAATGTTTCAATCATGATACAAAACCATGATATCATCAGTGACAACTGAGGTATAGGAACTAAAATCAAAATTACAAAGCTAAAATTTAACATAAACAATCACTCGTGAAACAATACTAGGGGTTAGATGTATGAGTCATTAGATTATAAAAGGAATTTCCGTTTATGGCGGCATTTTGTGAGGATTTCCGTCCTGGAGTTAAGTAAGTGTGGGTCAGAGGATCGAAGTAAGATTTCTAATTTCTCAGACGTGCACAGATCGCAGCTGTTCTGGCCGGCTCTGTATCCGTGTCCACGTCTGATTATTTTCCATTCGATCCTGAATTCTAACCCACGGTCTTTGAAGGACCAGATCTTCTCCGACAGTTTGGTTCTATTTCGGTACCGCTCCAGGCGAAATGATGACGTGTGCCCGTTGTACCGGTCCTTGAATGTGCCCTCCGTCATTCCGATGTAGTGGTGCTTCTCAACGACTCATTGAGTCCAGCATCACAGCAGAATATCGTAAGGCCCCCGCAGGCACCGCAGAGCATATTGAGAATAAGGCAGCCTCCATCGCCGCCCGCTTAGACCTGAAGGGACGGATGCAACGCTTCGAAACGTCCCAGGCATTCGTACTGCTCAAGGACCATAAGCCAAATTTCGCTACTAACCTTCCTTGTCGCCTGATAAATCCAGCCAAGTCAGATGTTGGACGAGTTAGCAAAAAAATCCTCGAGAAATTCACCGCCCAACTCCGTACTTCTTCCTCTGTCAACCAGTGGCGGAGCACCGGAGAGGTTATTTCTTGGTTCGAGACCAACTGTACACCCGGGCATGTCCAGTTTCTCCAGTTCGACATTGAGTCGTTCTATCCTTCCATCAGTGAGAATCTTCTAGACAGGGCCCTCCAGTTTGCACAAGAACACATCAACATCTCAGAGGAAGACATCGACACCATCAAACACAGCCGACTCTCCCTCTTGTTCTGTCCGCGAGGGGAAACCTGGCAGAGAAAGGACTCCCTGTTCGATGTAACAATGGGTGCCCCCGACGGCGCAGAAGTATGCGAGCTGGTTGGTGTGTACCTACTATCCCAGATCGGAGATATCCTCCCACAACAATCCCACGGCCTCTATAGGGACGATGGACTCGTGATGCTGACAGACACACCCGGCCCCAGAATGGAGCGGATTCGGAAGGATTTGTTTGCTACATTCCGGAGAGAGGGCTTGAAGATCACTGTGTCCCCACCATCCACATCTGTTGACTTCCTCGACGTCACCTTCCGATCGGATGGCTCCTTCCGGCCATTCCGCAAAGCGGAGAAGGTAACGAAATATGTACACCGCCAGTCAAATCACCCACCGTCCATCATCCGCAACATCCCGGAGATGATCGCTGACCGAATCAACAGCATATCTTCCTGTAAGGAGGTGTTCGACGACGCCAAGCCTTACTACGAGGATGCTTTGAAGTCAAGCGGCTATATGGACTCGTGCATGACCTACAACACCCAGGCAGGCGAGGCAAAACCACCACGTAATAGAAGGAGGAAACGCAGGGTCCTTTGGTTCAATCCCCCCTTCTCTGTCACTGTGGAGACCAATGTTGGAAGGAAATTCTTCAATCTGTTGGAGAAACACTTCCCTCAGGACAATCCACTACACAAGATCTTGAACCGGAACAGTGTAAAAGTCTCATACAGCTGTATGAAAAACATGGAATGCCTCATAAAATCCCGGAACAAGCAGTTGCTTCGTCAGCACCAGGAAACCCAGGAACCCACCACACGGCAGTGCAACTGCCGCTCCAGGAACTCCTGCCCACTAGACGGAAAGTGCCTATCGAAGTCTGTGGTATACATGGCGACCCTCCGTACGGAAAATGAGAAGCACCACTACATCGGAATGACGGAGGGCACATTCAAGGACCGGTACAACGGGCACACGTCATCATTTCGCCTGGAGCGGTACCGAAATAGAACCAAACTGTCGGAGAAGATCTGGTCCTTCAAAGACCGTGGGTTAGAATTCAGGATCGAATGGAAAATAATCAGACGTGGACACGGATACAGAGCCGGCCAGAACAGCTGCGATCTGTGCACGTCTGAGAAATTAGAAATCTTACTTCGATCCTCTGACCCACACTTACTTAACTCCAGGACGGAAATCCTCACAAAATGCCGCCATAAACGGAAATTCCTTTTATAATCTAATGACTCATACATCTAACCCCTAGTATTGTTTCACGAGTGATTGTTTATGTTAAATTTTAGCTTTGTAATTTTGATTTTAGTTCCTATACCTCAGTTGTCACTGATGATATCATGGTTTTGTATCATGATTGAAACATTTGTCTGACTCAACCGGTCGTTTCATTTTGTATCTAGCTCTCGGCTTGCCGATTGAGCACTGTAAGCAGACGACGCCACCCACAATTATATGTATATATGTATAGACGCTTTTGCAGTAAATTGTAGCCTACATTTAAGTGTCCGTAGATTCAAAAGTATAAAAGATACAGTCATTTCGAACCACAGGTTTTAAAGATAATTGTTTATACTTTAGTTTACATTATATCGAAAAATAATTTATCGTCATCATCATCACTTGATGACGTCATCAATTTAAGTGTTTTTAAAACTTGATTTTTGACAAAATAACAACTTTTCAAATCGATTTTAAAGTATTAAGGAGTAATTTTATTCAAAATCTGAGGACATTTTCATCTTAGATAATTGTTCAAGCATTCTGAAAATCTACCGGAAAGTTTTCCTACCTTGCTCCTTCATAAAGATATTCGCTATTGAAGTTTGTGCTTTTTTGAAGAATAATTTTATAAAAACACAAAAGTTGTGAATTAGTATTCTCTGGTGTTGGGCCATCCCTTGGGTTGTGGAGCTCAATTTTGCTTCCTAAAGGTCTAAATTGTGTTATAGGTTAGTTTTAAAGTTGAAAATCGAAAAGTTGCACACGTGGGGACACGCCCAAATTCATTTAAAATAGCTAAAATCACTAAAAATTGTTATTTTCACGATTTTTACCAACTTTGGAGTCCCGTTGTGATCCAAGTTCTTTTTGAAATCTTCTGAAACTTTTCATGCTTATCAAACTATATATTAAATAACACTATGCAAAAATTTATGGTGATTCAATATTTTATGCGCACGCAACGTCCGCTCAAAGTTTGCACGTGCGAAAGGTGAGAATTTTGCTCATTCGTGATTTCGAATATATTCTGCTTTCCCACGATATTAAAATGGCATTATATATGAATTTAATGCCAACTTGAATGAGTAAAAAGTGCTATATTCAGTCTGTTATTGACAGATATGCCTACCTAAACACAAGGAAACGTTTTCAAAGGTAAAATTTCGAAATCGTTGAAATTACCTCCTTATTAAGTTTCGACTGTGTAAATTATCCTGACATTATAATCAAAAAGAGATGATATTTGACCAAAACCCATAATCATGGGTAGAGTGAACCGCTGCCAGTGTCTCTCTTTTCCAAACAAAAGAAAATGATATTAATTTGAGGAACCGTCCGCAAATGCAAATTGATACCGAGAATGAAATCGGTCGCTCGCTTTTCCCATTCATTCACGGCTTACGTATTGTAATAAAGCTTATTGAATGGGAAAAGCGAGCGACCGATTTCATTCTCGGTATCAATTTGCATTTGCGGACGGTTCCTCAAATTAATATCATTTTCTTTTGTTTGGAAAAGAGAGACACTGGCAGCGGTTCACTCTACCCATGATTATGGGTTTTGGTCAAATTACGATCACAAATTTTGTGATAAGAATTACGTGCATTTTTAATTTTAGTTTGAATACGACAGCTGCTTTAACATCGGCAATTAACATTCCGATAATATTGTTGATATGAGCAGGAACCGAAATTCGTAAATATTTAGCAAGTCTCTACGCCGTTAGAACGAAGCAAGACTTTACAAATTCAACAAATGTAATATTAATTTACCCTATTTACATTCAAGTACACGGTGCAATGAACTCTCACGACTTTTCCAATAAAACAGAGTTTGGAATTCAGAAGGAAGCTGAAAGATACACTTGGGTGGGGTACATGCTTTTCGTCCTCATCTCATCCTTAATCGGAGACACTACCATTCTTGTAGCGTCAATCCGATATAAGGCCTTTAAACTTCACAGTTGTATCGTAGCTATCATCCGGCACATAGCCGTCTGTGATTTAATGGTGTCTCTATCAGGGGCATTGCCACGAGTTATCACTTTGATAGCAGATAGTTGGGTACTGGGTGAATGGTTCTGTTACATTAAGCCCTACATTACGAATTACCTTAATGTAGTAGGACTGTATCTCATATGTTCTATGACAACTTGCAAGCTTGTCATCCTACGTGCGCCTCTGAGAGCCAGGGGACTGGAGTCAAGAAAGGCTCACATTGGTTGTGCAGTTATTTGGATATATGTGTTAAGTCTTCCAGCTGCTTTCTTCTTGGTAGACAAAAGTGATCAAATCTACGATTACAGAGAATACAACTGTGAGTTTGGTTATTCATCTGTTATCTGGAAATGGCTAAGACCACTGCTGTCCACGGTCTTCATGGTCATTCCAAATTTTCTAGTTATCGCTTCTACCGTAAATTTGCTCATCATTGCAAAGAAAGTCGCTAGTCAAGGGAGGCACACTATCAAATGGCAAGGCATCATAACTATCATCCTTATTGCAGTCATCTACTGCTTATCACTCCTACCTTACGCCATCTACTCTTTTGTTGGTCCTAGATTGGCAGATAAAAAGAGTTTCTTCCACAACGAATACCTCAGGATCTCCATTTCCTGTGCCTACTTCAACACTATGAGCAACTTCTACGTCTACAGCTTGACAGTTACTAGCTTCAGAGAGTTTCTCTTGTCTCGGATATTGGGCTCTAAACAGTTGATATCTAGCAATGCTGTTGCTTCTAGCCAAGGTAAATATCCTGAGTGTTTTTAATAAGCCATGATTGCATTGAACTGCATTATTCTGACATTTTCTAATGAGCATGATATTAGAAATGTCAAGACCATGACAATTTTATTCAATCTGGCAGGTCCAAGGATAGAAGAAACAAACTAAGGAAGAAACGAAGAAGACCAAGACACTAGGACATGAGTATGAGGATACCTTAAGATGTCCAGGCGTGAAAGGCATGGTCACGAAAACACGAATAAAAGCCACCGAGAGAAACATTCGAGTTAACGACAGTGAATTATTTGAGAGACAAATTACCAAGATACGTATAAAAACTTGTTGTAACCATTTAAAGTTTCAAAAGCACTTTATGTGGTCCTTGGTAACCTTATTTCCCTTTTAAGTTTTAACTGTATAGTGTGCAATATCTCGTACATTTGACTTGCAGTTTCAATTTTCGT